CTCTAATAACATCCAAAAAGAAAATGGCATTACTCATTCAATACATTCAACCAACTTTTTGTATCCTTGTTGTATAAAAATTTTGTTATTGTATCGAATCCCGACACTCCGAATTTTGACGTTTAACAAAAACCCGAGTAGGATTCATGCATTTTCTCTTCATTGTAGCAAAACTGTCCATTTAGATAGACAAGAAGAAATTTTCTTTCTAGTTATTGTCACCTCGTGTTCAGAACCAGATGTCTCTGAGAAAAAAAGACTTTGTAGAGAATAGTTGCATAATTATCCTATTACAATCCCTCCCTTAGTTCGCACGACCATTACGTCCTGCCAATATCTCATAAATAATAGACTATTCTGTTTTGATCGCGTGGAAAGAGGGGAAAAGACACTACTTGGTTTCAGTGAGAAAATGAAAGAAAGATGGGAGAAGAGTTTAACGGCTATTTCAGTGAAATGGAAAAATCAATTTCAATTTTTTTCATTTGTACCCACTTCCTTAAACTAACGATACACATTCATATTTATGATTGCAATATTTTGTTAAAGTTGTTAAGCTCAACTATTTAACGATACAATAGGGAAATTTCTATGGATATTTTATTGTCATAGAACTCATGATGAGTTTACTCAATCATTAACTTAAGATTCATGACAATATTAAAACAGGAAAACCGAGAAATTTTCACAGGTTAAAACTAGTTCTTACTGGTTTCATTTCAGTATGTTATTGCAAAAATGAAGAATTTGAGCTAACTCTTTAACAAACCAACAGTCGTCAACACACTAACAGTTGCCAAACACAATCCTCTGACAAACTTATAAATAATACTGGTTTTGTTGTTTTCCCGTTTTGCTCTTTCTCATCTTTATTTTGTATAGATAAATGTAATTGGGTTTATAATTTACTCAGAATTATAACTCCTCTACAAAGCCATAAAACTTTGTTCAAAATATTTAGATTTCGGCATTAATCCATAGAGGTGTTGATATGTCACTAAACAAAAATCAATCAATTTCCAGGCCGAACTACTGGCAGTGTCTTCCAATTTGGAGGCTCAACTTGGTCATGAATATATAGTTGTTGATTCCATTAGTGGAAATCTCTGCAGCCCTGCCGTTGGCTAGCCTTGGAACAACCCGACCATGCAGCAGGTAGCATTTGGTTACATGGTTCCAGTAATACTCATAGAGTGAACTGATATAATGTCACCTAAATACAGGTACTAAATATGCCCATTTTTTTTTTATTATTTACTGACTTCAAATTAATAAAAAAAGACAATATAGAGGGCAGTTTAGTTTGAATTACCCAGGATTTTTTAAAGACTCAGTCATTCAAATAAAATGACTTTAATTAAAACAATAAAAACGAACATATTAAAGCAAGGAGAAAAATTAGCAAAAAAAAGGTAACAAAAAATAACATTACCGCAAAGTGGTAATACCACCCAAGATGACACGATAGTTTATTTTGACTTTGCAGCCAACAAGAAAAAACACAGTTGTGACCACAACAGATTCGCCAAAGAAGTAATCGACCCCACAGTGTGATTTGTTCTTTTTTTTTTTTCTTTAAAAAAAAAAAAAAAAAAAAAAAACAGCTTGTTGGTGTTAGCTTTACTCGGACATTAGCTTCACTCATAAAATTTTTATCCATTAGTTTTAAGAATAGCCTATATTAATATTGGAAAGTTTGCAGTAGGGTGGTTGGACCATATGACTGTCCTTTTTCTGTTTTTAGAATTTAGGTTCTTAGGCTCATCTTGGTAGTGTAAGCACTCTCTAAATAAGAAAGCAATATCTCTTGATTTTAACCAGGAGTATTTTTATCTCAATTCATTTGCAATTGATTTGGTTGTAGGCCTTGAAGATTGAGAAGTGCTTTTTTTTTTTTTTTTTTTTTAGAGCTCTCATGAAATAAAAATTATTACCTATGGGATTTTAAGTGTTTGATATTCTTTAATTAATAATAATTTTGCTGTCTTTTAACATAGAGCTCTCCCTGGATCCATACCCTCCTGGAAATTCCATACGTATTACCATATCGTATCATTACTATATAAGAATATGCTTCCCTATATAATAATCAACTATTCCCCAGGTAAATTGTTACTTTGCTTAGAAATTATGACCTCTTTAAATAATACATACAAAATGATAAATATTTAAATTAACAAGTTGTCAAGGTGTTAAACGTTTTATTTATAAAACTGTTTATAAAGTTCATTTATCTTTAGAGCTTCCGAGGAAAATATTAATAAAATCTGCATCAATTTATTAATTAATCAAAATGAGCTTCTAGCTTCAAATGTTTCAAAACTGTTTTCATTCTTTAAGCTAGAAAATTACCTAAAGAGTTTTTTATATTAATCCATACTTGATAACATTTCTCACAACAAATCTTTTTAAATGTAAATACCGTGTGATGCATAAGACTGCAGTATAAATACAAGGTAAAAGTTTATATTTCAAACACGAAAGGTTGATTATACTTTACTGTCAGAGACTTTTCTCAAATAGACTAAAACAGTATAATCCAATCTTTTTCTCAACTATTTTTTGGGATTAGATTAAACAATCTTAGAAACAATCTAAAAACAGAGTTAAGCTCTGAAGTGCAGGTTGATGAATTAATTTTTATCTATTTCATTGAATAATAGTAACAAAACCCAAATGTTTTAATGAAGAAGCTTCACGTTAAAAAAAACCACAAAACACAGACTGGCATGCTAGTTAATTATAGACAGAACTGCTGAAATATGGTTTTAAAAGTTTGGAATTATTCTTTTGCATTACATTTATAAAATCTGCATCATTGAAATTAAAGAAACATATATATATATATATATATATATATATATATATATATATATCATCTCAAAATGCAGGCATGAAAATAAATTTTTACTACGTAACCTAAAAAATGAAAAACGGAAAAAATAAAATAAAAAAATAAATAAATACTATGTTGCTTAAAACCGAAAAGAGAAAATATACAAGTAAAATAAATTGACCTAAATTCATCCAAGTAAATAAATAGACAAACCAATCCCAAATTAAAAACTCTTCCCGCCAAAATAATAGTTAGAATGAACTACAACAACCAACCCCAAAATTGAACAAATAGCTTTAATTAAATTCTCAAACCAAAACAAAACTGTTAAATAAGTGATATAAACAAATTTTTACTACGTTAATAAATAAATAAAATAAGAAACAAAAATAAAAACGAGCAATATAACTTGACCCAAATAAATAAACGACTTCTGGTAAAATAACCGCCATAATAGAATACCCACAATGCACCACTAACCCGTATATATATAAATAGCCGAGAAAAATAACAGCATATGTGGCCTGACGATTGCATATAGCATGAAACAGACTGTCGCCTCTAAGTGTTGACTTCTATGTTCACTTTTATATTTACACACGCTCTATCTCTGATATTGAGCACTTTATTCCATAAATATAGCACACATTAAGACTATATTTCTTTATATATGTGTGTGTGTGTGTGTGTGTGTGTGTGTGTGTGTGTGTGTGAGAGTGAGTGATAGAAATAAAAAAAAAGTAGTTCCAATAAAAGAAGTTAATTGTACTGAATAAGAAAATGGTAAGAAGAACCAGAGCTGAAGATGTTCATTAGATTCATATTTTTTAGATATTCTTTTCTAACCTTTCCAACTGCAATTCAAATAATTTCATCCATTATATTTTTTTTTTTTTAATTAAAGCAAGCAGATATAAAAAAATGTTGTAAACACAGTTTTCTTAAGATTTGTTCAAAATTTTATGATACACAAAATCAACAATTGGTTACATACAAAACTAATAACGATAGACATGCTGTCAAGAAATATTTTCCTGAAGAAAACCTTGCTATTATTTTGTGTAAGCAATATTAACCTCAACAAGGAAAGGTGAGTTTTAATTATTTTCATAAAAGTCAATAATTACTTCATTTAGTATCTCTTCATACATTTATTATACTGACAGGAAAAGAAAAAGAAAATTATGGAAATTTAAAATTACTCTCATGTTCTCTCTTGACAACAGAAATTAACAATTCTTAATGAAATGTGGCAAACAAAACAATAGTTGAAATAAAACATTAAGGATTTAAGAAACCGTCTCAAATTATTTTTGAAGGCAACAAAAGGCTTTTTAATGTTTTGGAAGACATGAAATAAATGCATTTACCAAAATAACATTCAATACGGAAAATAAGAGAATTTATAGCAAAAGTTATATCGTAGAATCCGGCATTTCATTTGCACAATGTGTTCTGATGAGATCTGATACAGTTGAGACAGAACCTACGGAATCATTGTTAAAATCTATAAAATATTGATGAACTTTAAGCTATTGAATTCAATTTGGTTATTACGGTTGATTTTTGTCTTCATAGGTTCAGCACTTTGAAAAACCATACAAATTAGAAACTAGTTACAATAGGTCAACTGTGTGTGTGTGTGAACCTAGTGACAAGCAACATTATCTCAAATTACAGTATAGAACAAAAGATGATAGTATAGAACAAGAAATATATTTCTTCAAAGACTTTGCTTAAAAATATTTTCCATTTTTAATAATTAAAGGAAAAAAAAAGTCTTCAAATAATATTTATATCCCAAATAAAAAAAAAAAAAAACATTAAAAAAAAAAAAAAATCATTCTACATGATTAACAGAAGAGATAATAAATCTTTTATTTTGCACTGGAAATAATTTATCACCTCCACTTAATCCGTTATAAAAATGTTAATTTTAGGAACAACAAGCTGTAAATGTTTGGAGGAATGCATATCTTAAAATAGCTTTTCATGTTGGATTTTGTTTTTGTTTTTAAATATATACACAACTTGCAAAGCAAGAGAAGTGTATTATGGGGAAAAATCCTTTATCAGTTATTCAGTTTCCTTCTTTCAAAAAGTGATTTGCATATAAGCTGCTGCTGCCAGAAACTTTCAGTAGCACCCCACAAAAATATCAATTTCAGTGGCTCTCTCCTTTCTTGCCCGCAACCTTAAAAAGACAAATAAATAAAATTAGAAACAAGTATAGAAAGAAAAAGTGAAAAATATTTAGGCTGAATGTTGAATGCAAGAAACATTTAAGAGACCATTTATATTCTGGACATCATAGTAACTAAATTTCAGATCCTTAATATTCTGAAATTTTGTACACTGACAGAACGCTTACATGTGTTTATTGCATATGAAGAAATATAAAATATAGGCATGGATTTGTGTTTACACTATGAAATAAAATTACAAAATTGGATCTTTGTGCCTGCAAAAAAATAAAAACAGTATCAAAAGGATGGTTTTTCCCTTGACATTGCTATTATTTTAACTACATTTACTCCTTGACAATGTTTATTGTCTTAAAAAGTGATGATTAAAATTTTAATAAAACCTAAATACATGAAAGTTAATTTAGGCATTTTTTATGTTCTTGAGCATTGACAATAAAAATAATAAACATTATTTATTAGATTGCCTATTTACAATATTTATATTATTTATTAGAATGGTTGGCAAAACAGTTAATTGCCAATTGATTCGAACTTTATAAGAAGGTAAATAATAAAGATTCCCTTATAGAGGTTCACATATTTTAAGAATTTAGTAAATGTTTATAAATCTATGAATAAAACATTTTCATATTTCTTTATAAATTGGTAAATGATAAATATTGCATTACATTAGTTTTTAATACAAATGTATTAGTATTTCGAATGTTGTAAATATAAAATCTAATAGTGTTTAATATTTTTCTTGTAAATTTTCAAGAACAAAAAAAAATAAAAAAAAACTCTATATATCCACTTTCATCATGTTTAGGTTTTACTGCAATTCTAATCACTTTTTAAACCAAACATTTCCAAGGAGTAAAGGTAGTTAAAATAATAATGGTGTCAAGGAGGAAAAAAAAACTTCCTTCTGATATTATTTTTTTTCAGCATAAAAGGTCCAAGTTTGTTAATGCTCCATCATTAACAATTCCAACTGGATAAAAAAAAAAAAAAAAAAAAAAGAAAAAAAAAAAAAAAGAAAAAAGAAAGAAAAAAAAAAAAGAAAAAAAAAAAAAAAAAAAAAAAAAAAAAAAAAAAGAAAAAGAAAAAAAAAAAAAAAAAAAAAAAGAAAAGAAAAAAAGAAAAAAAAAAAAAAAAAAAAAAAAAGAAAAGAAAAAAAAAAAAAAGAAAAAAAAAAAAAAAAAAAAAAAAGAAAAAAAAAAGAAAAGAAAAAAAAAAAAAAGAAAAAAAAGAAAAAAAAAAAAAAAAAGAAAAGAAAAGAAAAGAAAAGAAAAAAAAAGAAAAAAGAAAAAAAAAAAAGAAAAGAAAAAAAAAAGAAAAAAAAAAAAAAAAAATTAAAAAAAAAAAGAAAAAAAAAAAAGAAAAAAAAAAAAAAAAAAAAAAAAAGAAAAAAAAAAAAAGAAAAAAAAAAAAAAAAAAAAAGAAAAAAAAAAAAAAAAGAAAAAAAAAGAAAGAAAAAAAAGACTAACAGAATAAATGATAAAAAAACACCCCCCCCAAAAAAAACAAGATTTTTGTCTATGCTTATAAAGTATTTCTTTTTAAATTTAAAGATTGAGAAGAAAATCAGGAAACTAAAAAGACTAGTTGTAAGGAGTAATGGAAATGTATGATTTACCCTTTTGAATTCAGACATGTCTGTTGAAGAAACAGGGGTGCCTATAAAACATAAATAATTAATCTGGGTTGTTTCCATTCCACCCTGGTTATCTTTAATGAAGATCTACAAATAGAGAAAAAAAAATTTAAATAAAAAAATATGTTTTTCAGATAAACATTAAACGTCAAAAGTATAAGGCAATAAAACAGTATATTATTTTTTTTATTTAAATATAATAAAAATAAAGTTGGGAGAAATTATGTTTGACACTGGTGAATAAGGGAGAAAAGGAGAGAACAGGAGAAGAAAGAATCAAAAGTGAAAAAAAAAAAAAAGAGAGGAAAACGTGAAAAAGAGTGGAAAACGTGAAAAAGAGAGGAAAACGTGAAAAAAGAGAGGAAAACGTGAAAAAAGAGAGGAAAAAAATGTACAAAAAAGTGTAAATATGTAAAAATTAAAGGAAAAGAAAATAGAAAGATTTTCTTCTTATAGCAACAGTTACTATATGAGATGAAATCAAAAGAGGGAAAAATTTACTATATTTTCTAATGGTTCAATTCTTTATTCTTTTAGGAAACAAAGGTTTAATGAAGTTTTAATCTCTAACTGAAATATTATGAAATACAGAAAAATTTGATCCTATGTTAATACAACAATGAAATATGGACACAATTATCAATTATATCATAATCAGATATTTGCTAAAATTGTGTTATAAACAATGGTTGGATTTAAAAATCGAGTATCATGTATGTAAAGCCTGAATCAAATATTCTAATATTTCAAGTCTAGCAAAAAAAATAAATAAAAAAGAAGAAATTAAATAGATATACAAATTTATTAAATAGCTATACATGTGTACATTAAGTAAATCTCTCATTTTTTAATTTTAAGCTTCAGTCTTGGTAAAACTGGTAAAAATGAATCATTATTTTTTGATTCCAACTGACATAACAAAAGAAACCTTACTGTGACGTTTTGCACGTTCTGATATTTCACATAGCGTAATTCAATAACATTTCCTTCTTCTAAGTCGCTGGGATTTAGACTAAAAAAAAAAAAAAAAAAAAAAAAAAAGAATGAAAGTGGAAAGCAAAATACATCAAAACATTATCAAAATAAATTTAAATAGTCAAGCAAATTTAATGATAAAAACGGAATTTGTTTTCTTTTTTTACTAAAAATTAAGATTTTTTAAAGTTATGAACCAATAAGGCTGGAAAAAAATCCTTGTGTGTGTGTATATCCACACCTACACACTAACAAGATTAGTGTATTTAAATTTAATTCAGTAAAACTACTTTAAAACATTATACACAAAACATATATATATATGTTGCTTTAATAATAAAAAACAAATGGAATCACATTATCTTTTGATTTATTTACTCTTTGTCCCTTTTTTTATCTGGTGCAAAAAATTTCTATCTGGTAACATTTAAGGAGGATCCTTAAACAAAATATCCTAACACATGAAACTAATCAACCAACAACCTTGATTAGAATTGGGCTCCGCACAGAACATTGCATATACAAATATAAAATTTGTCACCGAGTTGATTGATCCAGCACCCTAACTCCAGAGTTTCATAAATGAACCTTTGTGTAAATTTTTCAGTCCACTCGTCAGGGAGGTCTCAGCAAATGTCTGTCAATTTTCTCATTTTTGTTATTTTTATATTAAATTTTTAAAAAATGTGCTTTATTGGTGTTAGGTTCATTTTTTTTTTTTTTGTACATGTGTGTGTGTATATATGTGCACACCTGTAGGATGTCATGGTTCTTTCTCCTTTTCATAATTTTCTTGTCTCTTTATACTGTCTCATTATTCCGTTTCCTGCTTTTTTCAGCTCTGAGTTTCAAAAGATATTGCTGTTAATAATCTTTTACAAAAATGTATTGCTGGTATTAAAACCTATTTTTACACTTTCATAGTGTTTTGACACCAGTTTGGAGGTTAACTATTTGCCTATAGCTGGAACCCTAACAGGTGCTACCACCCCGGGTCAGGGATGTATCCTCAATGTCAATTACATAATTACAATAGTCAGTCAGTTATGTGCCATGTGTGATACACGCTTAGACAATTACGTATCTTTCGATACATGACTGACGAGGCAGATTTTTTCCCCGCAGTAGGCTGCTATTTCTTTCTGCAGTAGACCAGTTGCCAACCAAGGCTATAGAACCTGATCTGTCCTGCTATTTACCCATAGTTGCGAGGAGAAGAAGAGGATTCATACCTTTCCCAAGGGTATTAGCATGTAAGTGAATGTAATGGATTCCACTGGAATTTGAACTCGGCCTCCAATTTCCTCAATCCAAGCTGCTATCCATTACTCCACTGTGCCTCCATTAAATATCTGACAACTTATCAGATATTGATTCAATCATTTTTCTCCTTATCAATATCTGATTCTCAACAAACTATTAATAAATTCCGTTTCCAATTAGACAAAAAGTGCAAAAAAAAAAAAAAATTTCAGTTATTTTAGGGATGAAGTTAAAGAAAATCTAAAAAAATCTTACCAAAATGATTGAACAGGTTCCATGCTTTCAGCTTTATCAAAATCAAGAGTTATTGGTTGGTTTGTGAAAAGCTTGATATTTTTAGGACCATTTTCTAAAAAATAAAATCAGTTGTTACAGTACATATTTGACAGAATTGCATTAAATCTTTTGGAATAAGAAAATGCTAGCAAGATAAGCAAGTTCTTTAATATGTAATAATAAATAATGCTTATAATATAAAACATTATTTTAAAAGGTAACTTAGTAAAGGAACCAACAAAATATTTAGTCAATGACAAAATTAATTGCGTCGGTTTTCTTTGGCTGGATAATGTTTTTAGGAAATGATAAATTATTTCTGCAGTTTCGCTTTTCATTCTAATACAAGCAATAATTGAGATTTGAGATTTTTATCAAACTTTTTCTTAAAAAAAAAAAATAAAAAAAAATAAAATAAAATGCCTTTTAAAACTCAACAGAATTTTAGGATTAAAAGAAATCTTAATAAGGAATAGTTCAAGTTTACAAGAATTACAGAAAATTTACCATATATACTCATGTAATGTACAATCTTGTGTATCATGCGACCCCCAAATTTTCACTTATAAAAAATGATTTCATCATGGATCTCGTCTATCATGACAGTTCCTTTTTAGAGAGACCAAATTACAATAGACTAACCTCTTTTCTTCTATCTCTTTATTTCACCTAGTTAAATAAGTTAAAAAAGTAAAAGAGAATGATAAAAGTATCAGTAATAATGCTATACTCGTTGCATAAATGCGTGCAGCCATAAACAATCGAATGAGAAACAGCTAAACATCTTATAAACGTAAACAATGGAAAAGTTGCATATTTACTATGTTTGTATTTTATATGATGCTAAAATGTGAATATTACATGCATTATTATTGGATACAGTTAAGTAAATAATCTGTTTTATCAAAATCATGTTTATTTTAAATACAGCTGTACTTCTTGACTACAGTAAATGGATATATAGTTTGGTCAATGGGATAGCCAGGGCCAGCAATACATATGCTAATTTTATATCTCATGTATAATGCAACCCCTTGAAATTAGCTTCAGAATTAGGTCTTCAAATGCTGTATGATACGCAAATATATATGGTAATTGTAGATATACAAGTCAAAGGAAACCAATCTGATTTGGTCACGTTTATGTTTCATTATTTGGATTTTACAAATTGCTTTAATTAAACTCTAAGAGCCATAGTTAGAAATCAGCCTTATTACAAGAGGGTACTGAAAAGTTCACAGCATGAACAAGAAAGGTTCACAGTAAAAAAAAAAAAAATAAATAAATAAATAAATAGACATTTGGTCAAATTTTGAGAAAGGCATTCTTTGTACGCCTTTACAACATCCCTATTTAGTGAATTGAAACTGCTTTTTGATTAATAATTCGGAGTCATTATCCATTACACCACCAACACATCTAAGCTTACAGCACATAATATTCTCAAGTGCTTACCCATCTTGTTAGTGTTCAAGCTTAATATTGCTTAACTTCGGTAATTGTATGGGAACCAATGTTTCAACATGATGTGGTCATAAGCTGATATATCTTAGTTGTGGTGTAACTATAAACACACACACACACGATATATATGTCTTGTTAGAAAAAATATGCGTTCTCTGATAGGATTCAAGCCTGCATCTCCTGGAGTAAGCCATCATTAGATCTGACATGTCTTGAACTCTCGACCACATAGAACTGCCTGATCAAACAAAGCCCAACTAGTTCTTTTTAACACATCTTTCCTGATTATCAATATATATAAATATATATATACATATCTGCTATGTTTCATATCCTAACATAAGTAAAGACAATTTTTAGGAAATGGAATAAATACAACATTTTTAATTTACTTGTTTAAACATTATTTTTAATGTATCAAGAGGTTCTATGTGGCCAAGAGCTGAGAGTTCATGACATGTCAGATCTAAAGATGATATCCCCTCAGGGAAAACAGCTTCAAATCCCACTGGAGGGTACATATTTTTCTAACAAGATTTCTTGAATATTCAAGCATATATATATATATATATATATATATATATATATATGTTACAGATATTGTACAACTGTCAATAAATAGCACATTCTTAAAAAACATCTTTCGGTCTACAAACAATTATTTTGTCTTCAAGTTTTAACTTTAAAGGAAAAAAATTACAGCCTGAGGATGGAGACATGGTCTTCGAAAGTACTCGCTTAACTTAAAAAATATACACTAGAAACATCTGACAACAGTTTTATAAATGAGGATCACATTATTCAATGGATTAACAGTATTTTAATGCATACATTATGTTCTACTAGCGAAGTGATTTCGCCATTAATCACATTAATATTTCTGATTGATTCTATGTATAATTATTTCTTTATAAGATCCAGGCAGAGAAAAATTCCATTTTTCTTACTGTATAAATACTTATTACTGCCCCCACACAAGATTGAAATAAAAGAAAATTACTTACCGTTTGGTGCATGAATTTTCAATGAGTGTAACTTAACTGCTTGAGAAAAAGATATAAAAATAATAAGCTGAAAATAAAAAATAAATGTATTGATGAGTGCTATATAAGCATTGACAATTATTCTGACTAAAAAAATATCTTGAACAATAACCTTCTTAGTAAGATCTCACCAAAAGTTCTTTTCCTGTAAATAGAAGCAATAAGAAGAGGCATTTGACCATCAGAGAAATAAAATCCTCTACACATGATGATTATTATTTTTATAATATTTGTATTACAATTATAGTAAAACTACAAAAATATATCAAATTTAATTAATGTCCCTTCAAATATTCCTTCAACCCAGAAAATAAATGTTTTTTTTTGTGATTCAGCATAAACAGTTCTATCATCAGACTTTAATTTCTTTTCTTTTTTTTTCTAAATAATCACATCACTTTTGCTATTGTTTTGGAGAAAACTTTAAAAAAGTTCAATCACATCAAAAAATGTTGGGCTAAGAATTTTTTGGCTCATTCCTCTTCCAAAAGAATTTTTTTTTCTTTTTTATGCATCTTCATAATTCTTTATGGCTGTTTGTTAATGTCTAAAAATGTTGGATATATCATTTAAAATGTACATCTTCAGTTTTATCTGAAGATATGCTGCATAAGGACACATGGCACAGTGGATAAAGGTGTTGGTTAGATCCAGTGACAGGACCCAAAATGTGTGAGTTCAATACCTGGTTAAGACAGTGGAGAACTTTAAGAGGGTAATTAACAGGAGATAACTGGCATCCATTAGACATGGCACTTGGAACTAGAACAGTCTACTCCAGTGAGCAAAATAAAGGGTTCAGTTCGACATTCTAACCACCTGTAGAAGGCCAGAGCATACAACGGCCGAAACATGATAAACATGGTGACAAAGATGAGGACAATAGTCCAAATAGAGTACATAATACCTCATCTCAGAAATATAGACAAATCCAGAATAGATTCACTGGAATTTAATTCATTTAATCACATCTCTTTTTTTTTTTTTTTTAATGGTGTTATAGACAGAGATTAAATTCAAAATCCAAATCTTATTTATATTGAGGATAATATAATACTTTAAACATTCTGGCCAATTTCGGTGGAGGTTGTTTCCTGAATACTTTAAAAGGATTAACAAAATGGTGAACATATACATTAAAAATAATTATTTCTGGTTAAAAGGGGGAGTGGGAGTCATTTTAGCAAATCAGTTTTTAAATTAATCTGGATTCAAAGTTTTATCTTTTTTACTACCAGAACATTCATGTGAATCTAAACTTGAGGAATATTTCATGAATACAACCTCAATGTAATCAATGTACAATTTATGAAATCAGTTATTAGATAAGTGTAAAATAATTACATGTCTATGAATTTCACGAGAAGCATTCTGATTGTAATAAAACTTCTTTTTTTTTTATTAAGAGGAGGAATTGGATCCTATTTACCTGCTCATCACAGTCAGACTCAAGGTAATTGCCGTTTTTTTCCAAGCAATTCGTAAATGGATAATCATCAGCCCCATTCAAACATTCAGAGCCAGATTTGCTGATAAAAGAAGATAAATCCACCTGAAACAAACAAGCATCAATGAATATTATACAAAATTATATATACAAGAACCTCAGTTTAACCCATATCCTCTTGGCTTCAGTTTAAACAGACACCCCTTTTTTCCATATACAGTGTAATCCCCTCAGAATAATGTACTCATTCTTTAAATGACAATATATGCAGTATTTATTCACTTGCAAAATTCAAGGTTAAAATCAAGAAATATTGGCGTTTATTGACTTACAAAAAAGATGAACAATTTAAATTAAATAGTAAATGAAATTACATGCATGGATATGAAAAAAGAAAAAAGAAAAAAAAGTCAAGACATTTTAAGAAGTCAAATAATGAGTTCATTTTTGGAGACAACTTTTATTCAGACCATCTTATTTGTTTGAAGTTTATATTTTCTTCATTTCAGATGAAAACATGAATTTTTTTTAACATATTTCAGTGAATTTCTTTACATTCCAAAATTATAGTGTGGATATATGGGCAGGGAGGTAGCATTATTTTAAACTGAAGACAGAGGAATATAGGTTAAGTTACATTAATTAATAGCTCAAAATAATGCCATCAACACTTTCTTTTTTTGTTTTATTTAAAAGTTGCACAATTCCAAAATAAACATTAGTATTTGAAAACATAATTAACAACTCTCCTGCCCCAATAATCTGTCCAATTTCTTTACAATATCAGAATTCGAGATTAAAATAAAAACTTTTTTCTTTATGAATTTCTTTGTTATTAAACTGTATATTTTATGTTTCAAATATGCTTCCAATATTTATTCACTTTTGTCAGTTTATAATCAGTGACAAAGTAAATTAAACATTATCATGAAGAAAAATAAAAAGCAGATCTTTGTCCTCACATTCAAATAATTCTTTATTTTTATTGGTTGTTGTCATCAAGCAGTAAAATGTTACCATTGATAAATGAAAATGACACATCACTGTCTTCAATTCCTTAGGGATGGTTTGTGTGCAAATATATATTTAAAGTTTTGGAAACCATCATTCTCATATTTGACTTTCAGGGAATGAATTCCAAATTTAAGGCAAAGAATTTGGGCAGTGGGAGGAATTTCACTCCTGCTGTATGTATCATGGTATTACAATTACAAGATGTACAATTCAAAATATGGGGAGGATAACAAGAAGAATGTGACTTGGGATTCATGGGAATACGAGCAAACACCCATAATGTCTGCTAGAGTAGTTATGTAATCCCTGTTGCAGACAGTTGCTCAAGCACATTTGTGTTTCTTCAACACACACAAAGCCAATTGCAACTATGCGGAAGAAACTTTATTTACAGTTTCTGATGGGATCAGCAATTTGAACAAGGTTAATACACTTGAACACTCAGTCACAATGACTTGTGACTTCATGCTAGCACTACCATCAATGGCTTCTGAACAGTTATGCCTACCCAATTTCACACACAAGGCTTAGGTTAGCCCATAGGTTTTTAGGCATATCCCAACAGTGCCATACACAAGAATTGTTTTTCCCAGGCTATTATCAAGAAGTCACATCCTTGACGAATCGACCATGATGAGATTCGAACCCAAGTCTCATGATTGGAATGAGAAAACAATATATAATCCAATTAGTCATCACATTGTATTGTGTTGTGTTCCATGTCATCTCGAGCCCCTCAGGCTACTCATAAAACAGTATCAACAAAAAAAGTTGTTTATTTTTGGTATTTGTTTTATTAAGAGTGGCAGCAAGAGGAATGACGTCACAGGAAGGCATGTCACATATTGGCTCAGTATTCCTCCACAGGTGGTATTAGCCAGTTACTGATCTGGGTGTGGGAGGCATATTGACGCTTCAGAATTCTTGAGACTTTTATATATAGTAAAGTGTTCAATGTCAGAGTGAGAACATATTTAAATATAAAAGTGACCACTGAGGTCAACACATTGACTGTTTTATGCTTGAATGCAATCTTTAGGTCTTGCATTCAAGCTTGAAACAGACTGTCACTATTTGGTGTTGATCTCTCTCTCTCATATATATATATATATATATATATATATATATATATATATAGAGAGAGAGAGAGAGAGAGGAAAGAATTTATTTAGAATTACCTTTAAGTATGACATTAATTGAAGATAAACTTTCATGATGATAGTTGATATGGACATAAAGTATATATAAAAGAGTCCTCAATGCTGATAGTCCTTGTTTAACTGTTTTCAGCCCCCTTAAGCACCCCACTGTATATCCTATAAAGCAATTTTATTAATCAAAACAATTATTATTTAAAATCTGTTGAACTTACATTTTTCATATTAACACAATATATGACTAGATCATAATAATACTTTTATCCAATGTTAAAAACATTTCAATACTGAAACTTTTTTACCCACCATTTATGCTAAGGGAATTAAAACAAGAAAGATGGATAGGTTTAAAAACTTAACTTGCCTAATTTCCTCAAAGTGCCAAGACTTATTATCTCACATTTTCATAAATAGAAATTTGATAAAACATCCCAGAATTTGCAATTTCAAATGAACAAGTCCTTAAAAAAAATAAATAAAAAAATTTTGATTTATGACATTAACTTATTTAGGGTTTATATGCTATCAATTATGAAAAAAATATTTAACAACACTTAATTTTTAAAACTTTGGCAATTTCTTTTACTAAAAAAAAAAAAAAAAAAAAATTTATTTCAAAACTACTGTTAAATACATATTTTATATGAAAGGAGAAATAAATTCTTTTCTACCTAAAATGTTTGGAGGAGGGGGTATTTAATAAATCCTTTTTCTGAAAATAGAAAACAGAAGAATCCATTTCAGAGGAATGTTGATGGTGCTGAATTAATATAGCAAATTGTTTTAATCTTTATTCTTGCTTTTATATAAAATGTCAACAACAAAAAAAATTAAAATTTTTATTATTTCAGCAGGTCAATGTAATTAATTATAAATCTTAATACAGAATTCTTAAGTTTACATATATGCTAGCCTCTCAAACTATCAATGCCACCAACAGGGTTGAATCATCTTCATTTTCTTCATATTCTATTGATAAGAGGAAGTTTCATTCAGCTTCTTCCCAAGAACTGTTATTTTGTAGAACTGACTCCTGAGAGGATGCTTCCTTGATCACTATCATCTTAACTTCTTCAAGTTTAGGGTCAATTGTTATCTACCCTAAATATCTTCCTAATCTGCACTTCTTACTTTACACCTTTGCAGCAAACTCATTCAATAACCCTCTAACTTGAGTGGCACTTGGGCCTTGTATTAAAAAAACAACAAAAAAAAACAAAAAACAAAATCATCATCATTCAACATAGTTGATTTATGGCAATTATAATCCTTTGACCCATATTCAACAGTTATAAATATTTTATCACACGTCATAAACACAATGTGAACAATAGTTTCTTTTTCTAGATAAATCAATATGACTAACAATACTAAAATGAAAGCTGCTGAAATATAAAAAAAACATTTATTTGAACAAATAACTTTTGTTACCTGTTGGTTTCAATCTAGGAATGACTGCTAATAACACCCCCACCCTAAATTTATAGACAAATCATACAAGTGCATGATGGAATTTCTTCCTAGGCAATAACATAGGCTACTTCTCTGTCTAATCCGCCATATTTTTTTTCTTTCTTGTCTTGAAGTCAGAATGCTACAATCACTTGATTGTATCAAGGAAGGAAAGTATAAAGAAATCTATAAAAGCTCTGATTACATGAAAGGATTAAAAAGTTGGCAGTTAATGGATTACTTACAAAACCTTTAACTCTTGGTTCATCTTCTATACTGTCATCTCCAGAAGCATGTTTGTTTATCAGGTCCAGTAATGCTTGCTGATTGGCACCACGCATCTCGTCTATTTTAACTTTGTTGCGGAAAAACTGAAAGGTGGGCAGCTGGTTAACTTGCTGCGCTCTACTGAGATTCTATGTAAACAAGATAAAATAACGTAGAAAATTATTTTGATAAGTGGTTTAAGTCCCCCCAAAGAAATCAATTTGGTTGCATAGGTGTATTTCAAAATTTTGTACAAGTCATATGAATTAGTAGACATTAAATTTTATAAAATTTCATAAAAATTTAAATAGATAAAAGTCAAAAAAAAATAAAATATATATATATATATATATATATATATATATATAATATATATAATAAAGAAATCAAAATATAAAAACATAAGAAATTAAAACAAAAATTCACTGGTGTGACAAAATTGACTTGAATTAAACTACTTGAACAATTAATCAATAATTAATCAGTATACTTCAATGAAGTACATAAACCTTTATAGAAAAAACTGAAGCTACATAAAATGAAGATATTTTCCTAACTTTTCAAAGCAAGAATGTATAACTCAATTGCAATTTGTTGTCTAAAATGATATTCATTTCAATTGAAAGACAACAGAAGATTTGAAATTACAAGTAAATATAAATGCTTCATATAATATTTTGTCAAGTCTTGGATCATGAAAGCATAAGCAACATGTAACAATTTAAGCAAATAGGACCCATCTATAGCATAACCCCCCCCCCCAAAATACATATTTATTTTGAACAACTCTTGAAAAAAGAAATATATTACTCTTGTAACAATGCCAATATGAAGAAATGCTGAAATGTTCTTGACTTGACCCACTTTACAATATCGGAAGCATTTTGATTAGGCTTCTAGGTTGGACCAAAAACTTTTTCATACCCCCCTCTCCCATATAATCCTCTTCAGTGAACACAGAAACTTCATTACTTCTATTAAATAGGTAGAAATGATAAGAAATAATTCTTTCAAATCAGTGAACAGGATGTATTAGTCTTCAGAATACAAAATTGTTTTGGTGAATTTTGTTTTACTTTTCAGAACTTGTGGTTATATCTCAGATTATAGTAAGCAACTGTGTTTAGTCATGAAGTAACATGCAAGGGAAATCATTATCATCATCAGTCCCATGACCAGGTATGTGGGGAGTGTCATAGGGTCACCATGCAGCTGAGCACCAGACTAATTCCCTCCATATATCTGGGTTGAAAACCAAATAGGGACTCATTCATGCATAGCATGTCTTGGGCATTTAGACCTCATGGAGCAAATCCTTCTCCAGGTCAAACCACAGATGATACCCTCCAATTTGAAGGTCCATTTTAGTCAAAGACACATGGCCGTTGATTTCATTGAAGAGTGGAACCTTCAACCCTGATCATTGACTTCAGTCCAGGAATTGAAATAGTCATTTGAGTTGCCATGAATTTACCTATTTGACACAATCTAAAGTTATTTTTGATGTTGAAGAAAAATAGACAATGAAAGATGACACTCCAGAGAGGTTTTTCTTTTTTGAAGAATTCTACAGAGATTCCTTTTGCTACAAGGAAATTTCAGTGTAAAATCTCATTACATAGAAATACCTGAAGGAAAGTGTATCCAAGGAACTTAACTGAATTATAAATGGTATACTGATTTGTTTTCATGGCTTATCAACCTTTTGCAGGTTATTTAAAACCAGAAATATCTTTTCAATTTTTAGAATTTTTTTGGTGGTGGGATAATGATTTAGTAATACAAGTCCTATTAATTAACACATAGCTGAGAGGAGCAGAGGGTATTTGTGCATAAATGATTGTAACAAGCCCAATGTTAATTGGAATTCTGCTCTCCAATTTCGAGTCATTACATCAGCTGCAAATCCAAGCTTACAGCACCTGGTATTCCCAAGCAGTCACGCATCTAGGTACTAACCAGGTTCAACATTGCTTAACTTCAGTAATTGTACAGGAACAAATACTTCAAAATGATGAGGCCTTAAATCCATCACCTGGTATTCCCAAGCGGTTACCCATCTAAGTACTGACCAGGCTTGATATTGCTTAACTTTGGTTAACATACAAGAACTGGTGTTTCAACATGATATAGCCCTAAGCCTTTATACATGTTAATAAAATATGAAACAAGAACGTTCCAGTAGGTATGTTTATTGTAACTTATCAGAATTTGGAAAAGACTTTTTTTTTTCTATCTTAATAAATGGCAAATATTTATGCCTCCCATTAAAACAAATTACAATCTACTGCTTAATTTTGAATTATCTTACAGAGACATTTTATAAAAATAGAATCTATAAGTAAACATTAAATCAGAATGATTGTCACAAATGAGACCAGTGTGGAAGAAGACATTCAACATACAAAAGATGCACATAGTCCACTTGGTTGCTGTAAAGTCTAATTTTAAATCATTTTCATTCACAATAGATAAAAAAAGAAATATGCTAACAACTGAGATTGATATGAAAAATACTTACAGGCAGAGCATCGACATCAACTTTCAGAAATACAACATTGCTAAATCTCCTACTAAATTCTTCAACCTTGGGGCCTATATCTGTACATGGTTTACACCTGGAATAGAAAGAAATGACTAGTAAATATCAATTAAACGACATTAAAATAGTTTTAATTAAAGCAAAAAAAGAACATTTACTGCCATTACTGTTTTCTAGTTGAACTGTTACAAGAAAATATTTCCAAAATCTGAAAATCATATTTGGGAATATCAAGGTCACTTTTTTACTTCCATCATTTCTGCTATTTTGGAAATTGATCAGTGTTGTTATTAGATATTTCATTATATATCATTGATAACGGTCACTACAAGCACATTGTGTTTCATTTAATGATCAAAAGCAAATGCTTTTACTGAGCACAACTTTGTAAAATTTGACTTGCAGTTGCAAAAAAAAAAATAAATAAATAAAAAATAAAAAAATAAAATAAAATAAAAAAAAAAGAAGAAGAGAGAGAGAGAGAGACTGACATGCCTACATTGAAAAATAATACCCTGACCAGTGGCAAAAGCTGCTGATGGCACCAGGGGTGGCAATACTGCCTTAGCCAGGGTATTGCATGTGCTTTCACATGTTGTATGTAGAAAATTAAGCTTTTTTTTCTTTTTTTTTTTTACATGAAATGTTTTTTGTAAGACTATCCCATAAAAATAATGATTATTTATTTTTTAATCAATTCACCCCCAAAAAGGTGATAAAACCACTAAGACACAAAGAGAAACTTTAGAAGCAACCAGAAGGCAACAAGAAACAAGGGATAAACCTCTACTCCAGCCAAAAAGACCAGGGAGGATTATGAATGGGATCACATGTATCATTTATATTAAACAAAAAACAAAATTAATGAAAGACAAATGTTATTCATAAGTATAACCTTAATTTCCATTTTTTATTATTATTATTAAACTCCAAACCAAAGTACAAAATCATTAACAACAAGCAATACTTATAGTTTTTATTTCCTTTTTTGAAAATGGGGTAATTGAACAAAACAAAAAAAAATATATGGTATATTGAAAGGATAGTTTTTCTCTTGACACTGCTATTACTGTATATACACTCAACAATGTTTGCTTATGACCATCTCACATTGAAACATTGCTAAAGCAATGTTGTGTCTGGTCAGTATCTAGGTGGGTGACTGCATGGGAATACCAGGTGTTCTAAGCTTGCAGGTGGTTATTGGCTGAGAATTGGAAATCAGTTCCAATTTTAATATGACTTGTTATATTCACTTATGCACAAATACCTTTGGGAAAAGTATGAATCCACTTCACACCTCCCCAGCTATGGGTTAGTTAGTAAGACTTGTATCAGTACAAAAGGTTGATAAGCTGTAAAAAATAAAATCAATCAATCAATTAACAATGCTTATTATTTAAAAATGCTATGTTTAGAATTTGAATGACAAAAATGTTACACTAGTTGTTATTGTTTATTTACAATATTATAAAAATGTGAGCCAACTACAATGCAATATTTATCATTTAATGAAGAAATAAATATTTTGTTCATAAATTTATAAAAACGTCTGTGAACAATAAAATTTGAATAAACACATAACTAATTAAAAATCTTGAACAAATGAATTTTCCAGGTATTTCTCTCATTGGTTCTTGCAACATAAATTCACTAAAATAGGTTAAGAGTATCTCTTCTTCTAAACCAAATATTCTTTTAAATTTAAATTCTAAGAGAGACTACAAACACTGAACATTTTAAGCATGTATCTCCCTATTCATTGGATAGACAAGTTTTTTTCCACCCAAGTGTAATTACAGAAGATCTGCAGTTTTTACTGGGTATATATATTGATTAGGCATCCATGATCCTAGATCATGAATATATATATATATATATATATATAAAAAAGAAAAATTAAAACAAGTAATATGAAATACAATTAATCAGAAGAAAATAATGTCTGGAAAAATATGGTAAATAAGAAGTTTATAAAATGGTAAATAATAAATACAACATTGTAGTTCAAATATTTTTATATAATCTTGTAAATAAATAATCTAACAAATAAATAGTGTGTAATATATTTGTTGTTATTAAAATTCTAAACATACATTTTTTAAAACAAACATTGAAGAGGGATTCAAAAGAGTATACAGTGATAGCAGTGTCAAGAGAACAACTGTCCTTTTGATACATCTTTTTTTTGTGGGTTCAAAGGTTAAACTTTGCCAAATATGGCATGTAGATAGCAATAGAAGTTATATACTACTAAGAATAGGTCTTTTTCTGTTTTGTGTTGATATAACAATGATGAAGTAGTCTTCCTTTTATTGTAAAACTCAAGGGCAACCAACAAAAATATATTCTTGCCTGTTATTGCTATGCTATACATATAACTTACATGTATATGTTTATATGATATAAGCAATTTTTTTTTAATTTATTTATTACAAGCCTGTAGACTGTGGAGTAATGAATAGCAGCTTGGATTGAGGAATCTGAGAGCCATGTTCAAATTCCAGTCAAATCCATTACATTTACTTACATGCTAATACCCTTGGGAAAGTTATGAATCCTCTTCTTCTCCCCCCAGCTATGGGTAAATACCAACAGATGGATTCTATAGCCATGGATGGCAACTGGTATACTTCAGAAAGAAATGGCAACCTACTGCAGGGAAAAAATCTGCCATGTCCGTCATGTATCACGCATGGCACATAAATGACCGACTGATGGATAATGGTATGGAAAATGAGATCAACAGAGTTCAAATGTTGGCATAGTTTTGGAGGTTCACTTTTGCCCTTGAGAAAAGCATGAATGCATAAATTCTCCTCTAGTTAGGAGCTGAATAGGCCTTCTTTGGTTGCAGCCAGTGAAAGGGAGAGAGAACTCTGAAAAACTGTGGAGAAGCCAATGGGAAATCACTCCACTCTTTCCAAAAAGAGACATGACAATTCACAGATAAGGAAAAAGGAATTTTTTTTAAAGGAGAACCATGGTCACCTTTAAAATATTTGATTGAATTCAAGTTTCGAAATATAAAAATTACTTAAAAAATTTGCTCTTGACTGAAGACAAAGTTACTTTTTGATTGAAATTTTGCAATAAAAACTTGATAATGTTTAAATTTTAAATACAAAATTAGCAATTCTGCAGCAATTTTACATTTTTTTCCCATTCCACAAAGATAAAAAAAATGTTTATAAAATTATTTAAGCAAATGTATAAAATATAAAAATCAAGTAATAATGCACACAAAAATAGGTAATATTTTTAAAAACCTCTGAAAAATTAAATGAAAAATTTTAATTGAAAATTATGAACTCTGGATAAGCAGTATGGAAAAATTTTAATTTAGATTTAAAAAGTTTTTAAACTTAAAATAAAAAATAAATAATTTAGTTTCAAATCATTAATTTTTAAACCACACAAAAATGCATCTTGATTTTATTTTTCAATGACGTACACAAAAAGTGTTTTCATTTATTTTAAATGCTTTGAAAACTGCTTCAAAATGAAAAATACAATTCAAAAACTGTCCTAAAAAACTAAAAAGTTTAGCCGAATGACAAATACAGCCGAGGTAGGGTTTAGTAAAAAATTTGAGCAAGAAGCTTCGAAAACCCTTAAAAAAGTCTTTGATCAGATTTTGGAATTGATCGATTGTTTTTTACGACTTTAACCATTGGAAGGTGGATTGGATTGTATCGATTTTTACATTATTTATTTGATTTTTACTATTATTTTTACTGAATTCAAAGCGCTAGAGAGAGGCTATTTTTTAAAAACTTTTCTTCGATATTATGCCATAAAACAACCACATCAAAAATTCAAAAAGAAACAATACTTAGAGTAGACTAGTGGTACATAATGGGGGCAAAAATAGCTCTCGATCTATTTCTGTACTCACCTTAGGAGGGAAATGTTCCTGGTCGCTTTAGGGTGGGGTGGGGGAGACACTAAGATTGCCAACTCGAAAGTTATGAACATCAAAGTACACAATTTTTAAGTGAGATCATAATCTAAAAAATATATCTGCAAAGAACGGTTGGCACAGTCTTGTTTAGTTTTAACTTTTTTGTTTGAAAAAAGATAATTTAATTTATAAAATTAAAAGGTATTGAAAATTAACTGAATACTAATTTTAATATTTCAACAACGTTTGTAGTGTCAAATTTATTCGGAGCTCTACTCACACATAAAAAAACTGAATTAATGGACTTTTTTTTAAAGGTGGAATGTCGTCAATTTTTATTAATTAAACAGTGTGTTAAAGCTGATATTTTTATTTATAAGTAACAAATTAAAAAAAAAAATTAATTTCATTTTTTAATCATTTTTATTTTTTAGAGACAAAAAAGTGTTCTATCACCGCTGATTCATTGATTACTTCTTTTTTTTTCGAGACTGCATTAAACTCTAGGATCAGAGAGTATTTTATTGACATTATAAAAAACAATACAAACCTCTGAAAAAAAACAAAAAAACCTTCAGCTAAAAAAACTAATATCTAATAGTACACTACACTACAGTCATAAAGAATGAAACGATTTGCCATTTTTAAGTTAACCTGTTATCACCGGTGGATAAGCCGATTACGTATTCCAGGTGGTACTTACCATTCTGCATGGAAATCAACAACTACCAATTTTGTGCCGGCATTTGCCAGCTCAATCGGGAACTGTGATTCCTCTGTGAGAATTTTTACCATCTTTTACAATCAATCAGAAATATAGCTTAAGTAATCAGCTAGTCCTTTCCTTGTATGTATAGTTAACTTTTACTTTTTTTTACCTCCTTTTGTTTTGCGGCACCGGTGATTTACCTTTCGAAGGGAGATAACTCATAATTTCCTATATTACCATAATTGAAATTGTTTGTATTGTTAGTTGAAAAAAATGGCAAATACAATATTTTATATAATTTATCTGTATCCATACATGATACGGAATAAAATAGTGAGCTGTTAGTATTATCTACACTACAGTAATCAGGCAAGACGTTAACCCACCTTAAGATTAAATTGAAATGTGGAAAGGAATTTCCTGTCTTCTCCACGCCAATTAAGTTTTCTTTTGAGTTTTGAGACTCATAATGAAAGTTAACAGTCCTGGAGGAGATTTAAAAAGTAAAAGGTCGGGATAGTTAATTTAAAATAATTGGTCGCCACTTTTAAAAAATTAATTTTCCAACTTTTTCACAAATACAGATGTGTAAAAAAATATATTACTACAAAGATTTGTTTAGTAGTCTAAAAAAAAAAAAGAATGAAAAAATCATTTAAATACCACATTTAAGTTAACTTTATAAAAGATCACCAATACGTAAATTAAAACGTAAATTAGCCCACAAGTATCAAATAATCTCTACCACTAGGAGTAGGCAAATTCCAACTAGCAGGCAAAAAAACAAAACAGCTTGCCATATTCAGAATAAAAAAATAAACAGCTTGACCATATTCAGAATAACTTCTTTTTTTTTTTTTGTGCACAACATTTAAAAAAAATGTCATGTATCATTGAGTTGAGGTTCTCCTGTCAGATCCACAAGTAGAAATGATTTATAGTGGCATGGGGCTTTGAGATTAAAATGAACAGTTGATTTACCTATGCCAAGAAGTTTCATGAAGGATAATAATGACAAGGAAACACACGGGTTATTTTAACAAAGTAAGATAAGGAATTTATTTATGAATTTACACACTCGAGGTTGTATTAGTATCTTGTTTCAGGAAAATAAATCAGAAATTTTGAAAGTTCGTTGTTTCAATGAATTGTCATGAAGAGGAAATGTTCATACAAAAGATTAAATAATCTGACACAAAATAATATTCAAAAATGTTTAAAACAAAGGTAAGAGACTTCGTTGTTCACAGAAGGGCTGTATGGTTGCATATGTTCCAAAGTAGATGAAGAGAGATAGTTTGAAATACTTAGCTTTCTTGGATTGTTGAAATAAAGTTCTTTGTAGTACCAAGTACTTGGTTAAAGCTGATAATATAATTAGCGAGTGTTATAAAATAAAATAAGACATATCTCGGCTGATTTGCAGGCAAATAAACTAACATACTCAAGAGCGAGAGCCAGATGTGAATGGGACAAGGCCCCGTCACAAAATGACCATTATCGTCATCTACACATAAGCCTGACGCATGATTTCCAGTTGAAAAATAAAATATTTTAAAGTGTTTCTATTTTTCGACCAATAAAAATGCTTCCCTCCTAATTATACTTGTGTTGTTTTTCGAGCCTGGTAAGTCATAAAAAACGCCATAAAAGGTGTCACACGGTGAAGTACAACAGCGGTCAACAGGAGGCCAGGGAAGAGACCTGTCACAGTCAGGCTCAGCGGTCGGCAGCAGTCAGCAGCAGTCAGCAGGAGGAGCACCACGCCAACCAGTGAGAACTACTATGAGAGATCAACCCAGATCGGCAGCCGGCTTATGAACTATACCACAAGGTAGCTGTCCCAAACCCACACGATCCTATTGAAATAAATCACGTAAATCTATTTCTGCTCTTGTCATATTTTTTTCTTGCAACCATACGCTTGTTTATAACACAAGTAATTTGACACTAGCAAAAATCTGAATGCTGGACACATGAACAGAAATTAAACTTTTCACATAACTTCAGGCACTATTCTCCTGTTGATTTAATTTTTTTCCTTATTTTATATTAAAAAGGATTTTGCATTGGCTCACTATTTTCTTTTCTTTTTCTAGGCTCAGTGGCTAATTCCTATGAAAACAAGGTTTTCATTGGTCCAAAGAAAATTTCACAATGGCATGCAAATTTTTTTTTTCTTTTTCCTCAGCTCACCTTTCATCATTCTCATTGTGATTCTTCATTGTTAACACATGTTGGGACTCCGAATATAAACAAAAATACGTTTTCAAATTCCCAATTTCATCAAGTCTAAAAATAAACTATTTTTCTAGTTCCACATGCCATGCCTTTTCTGAATATTCTCTTCTGAGGTGCTGAACTCACAACTCTTTGGGTCAAGTCACTGGATTACTTAAACCAATGCTTTTATCTACTGGGCAATGTGTCCTTTGGGACAACAGAGGGAACAAAATCTTGGAGAGTTGAGTTACTAAAGGGAAATAACTGAAACTGAGATATCCAAAGGCATGGCATGTGGAATTAGAAAAATCTAGCCTCGCAGACAAAATAAAGTGTTTGGTTCAAAATTCCAATTTATATCACCTGAAGAAGGCCTGAGCATATAGAAGCCCAAATGTTGTGAATATGACAATAAAGATGAGGACAGCAGTCCGAACAATGTAAATAGTGTAAATACTTACAATACCACATCTCATAAATATAAACAGATTTAATAATAAATATGTAAAAACAGACTTGCTGTTGCTTGATGTAGACATAGCAGTAAGAACATCATATGACTCTTCTTAACCAATGGGAACACAAATGAAAAATATTAAATTTTGGCATTCATTTGGAGTCTATCTCTAACCTATATAAAAACACACCCAATCCACAAGAGGGACTCACAGCAACTGCATACAGGAACAACACATAAGAGTATCAACAGCAATCATCACCCATTCAGAGCAACACAAGTGAGATGCATGTTTAGGTAAACTCCAATAACATCTACCACAGAAAGAAAATCTCCCGAGTAAGTTTCTTCTATTCTTAAATGCATGCACATACACTTACACACATACAATATATATCTCTACGTACTTATACATATTAAACACACATTCACACATCATGGATATTTATTTTCTCAAGCTTAATTGCATAAACCTTTTATGAATTCATTTTAACCCTTTGAAGAATACCTTTTTTCTTTCATTTAATTGTTACTGTTGTTGTTATAAAATTGCACTGAAAATGATAAATATTGTTATTTTTTCCTGTTTTGATACAATAGCAAAGTTTTGTTGGCTTTTCTTTCACACATTTGACCTTAGTTGCAACATCACCTTCCCTTTACTGTAAAGGGGAATAGTAGTAAATGTCTTCACCATTGAAACAAGGCTAGCAACAATAAGCAGCAAAGGATCAAACCAACATACCACAACTAAAAGAACAGTGAGAGTTAATGTTTAAGAGAATATATGGTTTAAAATAAATTATTAAAAATATATTATCTTAGTTTTTTTGGGTTTTTTTTCATAAAGGGCCGTGGAGATGTTCTCTGTCTCGTCACTTTTTTTGTGTGTATATATATCTAAATATGTCTGGATGCTTATGTATTATAATCTGATTGTGCTTGTGTTGTTTTAGGCGTGAGTTTATGACCCCATTTGCACACTTGGGATTAAAATGTATACATATATATTGTCAGAGGACTGGATGGAGTAACATCTATTCTAACGTAATTTCAACGAAAAAATAAATTGAATAACATATGTATTTCCCTTTTTCTCCTTGGTAATTTTATAATTTTAAACTTAATAGTGATTAAATTTGGATTATAAAATTGGCAGTTTTTAATTTTAATATCAAATTCTATCATATAATTTAATAACTATTGGTTAGAATAAATTCTTTTTTTAATTTTACCCGTATTTTAACGCTCTGAATAGCTATTATAACATGACTTCGTTGTCAGGCTTTTTGAATTTTCCTATACTTGTATTTTGATTGGTTATTCTAGCTTTTGGAACAACGTTTTCCCCTTGTGAAAAATCGGTAACTAATTTGAAACTTTTAAAACCATTTGTTTTGCATTCAACATCATCACTTGATAAGACACCGGGAGTGTTGAAACAAAATGGCTATATTTGTAGTGATTTTATAACATGTTTATGTTATAAATTTTCTAAATAAATAATTATATCTGCTCTACTTTGTATTGAGCACTCTTTTAAGAATAGTAATTGTTGGTTATTGGAATTCATTCCGTACACCAATTATATACTTGGATATATATATATATATATATATATATATATATATATATATATATGCTGTTAAGAGAATATATTTTTATGAATGAAACTTCTCCAAGTTCTGGGTCTCTTTGATGTGGTCAGATGACCTTACAAAGTGTAGGTCTTTCATCCAGGTATTTGTATTTGTTGGTTGCTGCCAAAATTATTGTAGTTGGTTGGCAAAGGCAGTTGTAGAAATCTGCTTCATAGCTGTCCATTTACTACCATTTGCTGACCTGACATGTAAACTATACCATAAAAACTCAACAACTCTCAACTGAAGTTACTTTGGTGAAGTATTTCTAATTCCTTACTGGTAAGTTTTTATGTTTTCTTCCTTTTTAGCCACTGATCAAATCACTAAAATAAAGATAAAACCTTTTTTTTTTTACTATAAAACTTAGTTGGTCTTCCTGTCATTCCATTTGCCTCTCTTTATTTCATTTCTTTTGTCTCTCTCTCTCTCTCTCTCTCTCTATATATATATATATATATATGTAACATTGCAGATAAAATCCAACAAAACTTGCAATGTCATCAATTCTGACTAGGCATCTCAGCTTCAGTTACTTTCACACTTCCATAATGCCACATCTCTGTGTGTTTTCTACAAATATTTTCATGGCAATTATTCTGACAATCTTTTCTCTTTGGTACCTTGATGTTACAAATGTAAGCACAGTACTAGGTCTCATCATTTTACAGTTGAAATTGTTTGATATAACCATAAGTTCTATGCTAACAGTTTCTTCTCTCGCACTTCTTGCTTCTTGAACTCTCTTCCAACTTCTTGCTTTCCA